GAGCAGCAGCAGCAGCAGCAGCAGCAGCAGCAGCAGCAGCAGCAGAACGTTTTTACGACGAAGAAGCATCTAGTTTGCTGCGCGTTGTTATAACACTTCTACTCAGAGCAAAAGAAGAAGAAAGAAAACAACTGATGGGCCTCTGCCGCAGCACCCTGAACAGCATCGTCAGCTGTCTGTACACCGCAATCAAGCAGATACACCCCGCAAAAATAAGCGAAAAACAAACGCAAAAAGAGACAAAACAAACTGCAACACCACATGCAGACAACCCCTCAGGTACTAACCATCTCGCCTTAGTAGCTAGCTAGCTAGCTAGCTAATCAGCTGCTTAGCTAGCTACTTAGTCAGCAAGCCAGTCAGCTAGCTAGCTAAGCATTCAGCTAGGAAGGCAGCTGGCTAGCTAGCTAGCCATCCACCTAGCTAGTCAATCAGGTTGGTAGCTAGCTAGCTAGCTGGCTAGCTAGCTAACTAGCTAGCTAGCTAGCTAGCTAGCTAGCTAGCTAGCTACGGATCCTGAGAGTGCCCCTGTAAGGCGACGTGTGCAGCCGAGCGACAGCGATGTGCTGAGTTTTCATTTCTGCCTCTTCTTTTTATCTCCGCCGCTTCTTTCATCTTTATTTATTCTTTTGCTTTTATTTTTTTCTTTAATTTTTGCTTTTTTCTTGTTTTTATTCTGGCTCAAGTGTCCTGTGCTCATTTGTCTTTCTCTGTTGCAGCAGCAACAACAGCAGACGGTGCAGCAGCAGCAGCAGACGGTGCAGCAGCAGCAGCAGACGGTGCAGCAGCAGCAGCAGACGGTGCAACAGCAGCAGACGGTGCAGCAGCAGCAGCAGACGGTGCAGCAGCAGCAGACGGTGCAGCAGCAGCAGCAGCAGCAGCACCAGCAGCAGCAGCAGAAGCAGCAGACGGCGCCAGCGCGGTGTCAGTGGATAGTGCTTTGTTTGATCGAGCTGAGAAGATGCTGGGGGTGTCTTTGTTGCTTTTTGCAATCGGCGAGCTCC